TATTATATTACATTATATTATATTATTATATTACATTACATTATATTACATTGTTAGCAGTAGTAGTATTATGATGATCGTTGTTAGCTTGAAGTTGTTTTGACTCATCAGCCCGTCAAACTCAGAGGACAAAGGACACCAGAAGCTGAGCCGACGTTTCTGTCACCATCGCCATCGCCGTGACAACACCAGGACGGACTCTCATCGCCCCGTATCACATGACTCGTGATACGTGATACCTGCATTCATCCACCAAAAGAGGACGTTTAAATATGAGACGGACGGAAACTGTTTCTCTAACAGGTGACGCCCGGAGGCGCAAACACGGCGGCGTCTGAGGCGGGAACCTTAGAAACTAACGGAGTGGACGGATCCCAGGAGAGAGGACAGGAAGCTGAAATTTAAAGGAAAGTAACAGAAACCAGAGACAGAACAAAATCAATTATCACCATAAATAAGAGTAAGTCGGAGCAGAGAGGAAGGAAGTGGGAAAGAGTTCAGGTGATGAAGAAAAAGGAACAAAGACACAAAAGAGGAGAAAAAACAGATGAACTGACAACTGAACCAAAACTGAGGAAAGGAGGCGAAGAACAAAGAGACGAAGAAGAAAGGAGAAGATGAAGATGAGTGATGATGACATGCTGACAACATGCTGCTCTGCCATTGGCCAAAGTGAGGCTCCACAGGTGTCTCTTGGGCGCACCCAGCAATGACCCTCAACCTGCCAATCATCTCCGGAGAGAAAGAAGTCATTGTGTGTGTGTGTGTGTGTGATGTCGTCTGCATACTGATGAACCAATCAGGTGCTGCTCAGACTCACGGCGCCTCCTCCTCTGTGATTACCTCTCCTGATGCGCTCTTTTTCTTCTTCTTCTTCACTTTTCTTTACTTGGAAGCTTTCCCTTTTTTTTGCAGATTTCTTCTTCTTCTTTTTTTTCATCTAATTCGAGAGTCTGATGTGTGATTTGTGACTTTTTCCTCTTCGTCTTCAGGTGATCTGTGAGAAGATTTTTAGACCGTGGTTTTCTCCCACGCTGCTTGGGGCCAAAGCAGCGCTCCCTCTGCAGGTAATGTATCTGAAAACATCTTCAGAGGTCCATCTCACCCCACGCCAGCATCTGTCACACCAGCATGTCCTCCTGTGTCTGTGAACCTTCTCAGCTCCACACCAAGCCATTAAAAATGCTCTAGCACATCCACAGTGCAGAGGTCCGGGTTAATTACAGTTACATGTGGAGGACTCCTGTCAATCAAAGCAGCCAGTAGTGTTTCTGTAGATTCAGAGATAATTTTAATACAACCTCAGCCAGGAAGCTCCAACGTGAGAGGGAAACTGGCACCAGCATCATTCGGGAATTCCAGTGATGGAGGGTTAATAATTTGGTTTCAGCGATCAAATCCGACTCCGAGCCAACTTTAATCCCAGCTTTCCTGCAAACACTGATGAACTGCAAATTATCTAATGTAGGACAGCAGTTAAAGTCCTGAGTTTTGTGGATTAGAGAGTTTAAGACGTGATGTTGGTGTTGAAATTGTCTTTTTCCATCAGGTGGAGCTGCAGCGAGCTCTGCAGGAGTGTTCAGCGACTGAAGGGGGCGTGGAGGAGTCAGAGGAGGATGGAGGTGGTGGTGGTGGAGGAGGAGGAGGCAGGGGTGTCCATCAGCGCCTCTTCAGTGTCCTGAAGCGCCTCATCCAGGAGGGAGGGGCTTCAGATGAAAGCGGAGAGGCATGGGAGGGAAAAGGCCACGCCCACACTGCGCTGAACTTTTGAGCTGTAATGAGAAGGTCGATGTGGGCGGAGCATCTCAGAAAACCAGAGAATGTTTTAAAACTATCAACGGGTCTCTTCATGGCCAGAGAGCCCAGGTAAGACTGGCCACTCACTGATGGGAAAAGACTCATCCACTGGCACATTTTGGGTCCAGAACCACAGTTTGAGCCACTCTGAGTGTAAGTGACTCCGTCAGCAGGTCCTATCTCAAAGAGACACAGCAGTGAGACTTTTGGCCTCAGTGTGCATCGAACTCTATCACAATGAACAGTTTTAGACACACACACACAAAAGTCACGGTGTTCTCGCTGCCAGTGACGGACGTTTCATCCTACCCAGTTTGTAAAATTTAACCAGAACTTAAGGTGGAGTTCAGGAAAGGTCCACCTTTGCCTCCAACAAAGAGAACTTTGACCTAAGAACTGGTTTGCTGTGGAACGACTTGAGCTGCATCCATCACCTTTAGCTCACGAGTGTCCAGGTGCTCGTCTGGGAACGTCTGATTGGGTCACAGCGAGCGTGGAAACATTCAGCGACGTCTCACGTGTCTTCTCGTCACAGAACCAGGGATCCAGTGTGGGCAGATCCTCGCAGATTTATTATCCTTTTACGTAACTGGTTAGTCTCAGTGAGATTTTTCAAAAGAAGCTCTCTCATTTGAAGAGAAACTGTAGAAAATAAATGTGTTTGAATGATAAATGCTGAGATACAATGTAACATATGACTAATGATGTTTGATTCACAGCTGAATGAACGACTCTTGGCCTCTTTTAAAGGTTTTTAATTGTTAATTTGACATGTTTTTGTCCCGTTGTTGACTGTTTTCAGGTTCCAAAGACAGATACCAATAAAACATATATCATCCATCCAAAGTGTGTTTGGTTTGTACAGAACGTCTGTCTCACAAAATACAATGTACTGTTTCATGTTGTATTAAAATAACAGATTTTGGAAAATGTACTGATAGTTTGGTCAAATGTCTTAGTGAAGAAGACATTTGTGACCTGCCGAGGCCTCCGGGAAGTTTCTTTGTTTAACAAGACCAATATGAGCCTCAGCAGTCACAGACACCCGCTCATTACTACTATGCAACATCCAGTAAAAATCCTTGAATTTCTCCCACCAAACCTGGGCTCAGACTTTTTGGAAGGTCTGTTACTATAGTAACCTAGCAAAATGGGTATGGCCCACACAATGTGCTTACACATGGCCCACACACTGCAAAGAATGACGGCCCTTTGGTGGCCCAGATCTGGTTTCCAGAGGTGGCCCACACATGGGCCAGCACAAGGCCAGCTGCAGACATACTGCTGGCCTTGTGCTGGCCCAGATGTCAGCCTAATGTGTACCTTAATTAAGCCATGTAATAACAACATGTGCCAGAATATAATAGTGCAAAAGTAACATGATGAAACTCTGTTCAGAGAGTGAATGGACTGATTCTTACATAGCGCTTTTCTACTCACCCAGATTACTCATAGTGCTCGATACAACATGTCATATTAACCTAATCACACACTTTCTCTAAACTGAGTGCTTCCTAACTACATTCATACTCTTGACATGCTGACTGGAGGAGGCAGGGATCGAACCACTAACCTTTCGATCAGTAGGTGACCTGCTCTTCCTCCTGAGCTACAGCCACCGAGTGGTGAACCTGAGTAAACCCTCACTAGGTTTGGATAAACTGTGAACTCTCAAACCTGCATTTGAAACATTAGCTACCATAGCAGTATAGTATTGCAACATGGCATTTGGGTCTTCTAACTAAAATAGGAAAATGGGAACATAAATAGTGCCTCATTGCCAGACCAGGCCCACATCTGGTTGACATACACCCTGCCATGACACCAGTCAGTCAGAAGTGCCAGCTTGATGCCAGATCCAGGCCAGACCTGTTTTCTATGAGCCTGGGCCACATACACCAAACCACAATCGGGTCAGATATGGCATGCCATCACATAGACAGTGCCATCTATGCCAGGCCTGGCCCACATCTGGATGAAATACATCTTATCATGCCAGAAGTCAGCCAGCAGTGCCGGCTTGATGCCAGATATGCACCAACTGTGGAAAGCTGTCATGCATGTATCTGCAAACTTGATGACCTCGTGTTAAGAGCTTGTGACACTAACCGCCCAGACTGTCTACTCACAGATCTCCGAGCTGGGAGTCGGTCCTTCTGGCAGGAAACTCCTTTTTTTGACTCTTTTAACTCAGAGCCCCAGAGAGACGATTCTAGGCTAACAAACTGAATCCCTGCAGCTTCTTTCATCAGGTGCCCGAGGCCTCATGTTACAGGTGTAGAAATGTGAGCGAGCTGCTGATGCGTCCCTGGCGTGTTTTAATTCCACTGCAGTCGGCTTCCTGGACGTGTCACCACAGCAGCTGTATGGAGAAGACTCAGCTGGAGAGCTTCCAGAGCTCTGCTCAGCCTGGCAGCTTTCCACTCTTTCACTTCTTTAACAAAACAAAAAACCAAAAGCTCCAAACTTCATGCTGAAAACGCTCCAGAGACTTTACTGGAAAGCAGAGCGGAGAGCATGATGTGTGCTGCAGATTCAAACGCTGATCTCCTTCCTGTCATATCAAACACCACAGGCCTCCCTGTGGTGGAAGCACAGACTTGTGGGTATTTAAGTTGAGCAGCACACCGACCGTGGCGCTGCTAAACACTGGGCCACACGCTGTGTTTGTGCTGCCGGCATGCAAAGCTGCTTGAGCTGCTGCTTTAAGTTCATATTCTCCTTCTGGCAACACGCCGGTTTGTCTTGTTCACAGTTTTATTTCACAGCAGATCAGAGGAGGCGTTTTATTTCACCCTGTCTACACAACTTTTCATTTATTGAAATTGATGAAGCGGTGCAGGAGGTCCAGACACCCGAGATGACCGCTGTGTTAATCAGAACTCATTAAAACAAACTGGATGGTGACGCACACATGATGGACCTGATCTGAAGAAATGCTGCACACCTGAAAGCCTTTTTCTGCTGCCACCTCCTGTTAGCAGCTCTGCCTCAGGCCAGTCATAATGTGGGCGTCACCCAGCTGCCTTTCATCCTTTCAAAGGTTAAAAATCTTCCTTTGAGCCCAAAGGTGTGAAAATCAGTGGCTGAACTAAACTAAGCCAAACACCTGCGAGCCGTCTTCAGGTGTTTGTAGCTGTGATGTGTCAGCATTAGATCCTGCACATCATTCACCTTTAAGGCTACGTCTACACTAATCTGGATACATTAAACGCTTACGCGCATGCGTGAAACGCAAGAAGATTCAGCCTGCCTCATTTCTGTCTGCCGTTTATTTACTTTCCGGGTCTTTGAAACGTTGCAGCAGAATGTGGAGGAAAAGCAGCGAGTTTTTAAATGGACTCACAATGAGGTGGAGTTGTTGCTGCGCGTAACACAAAAGTACAAAGTTGCAAAAGCGAGTGAGAGTTAAAGAATTTGAAGAAGAGCTCTCTGGAGCATCTACAGACTGATATTAATCTTTAACAGGGCTGTCAAACAACTGCTGTATAACGCCCTCCACTATCTTAGTTTCATTGGTCACATGACTGCATCATCGTTTCTGAAAGGCTCCGGGGTCGCTGTCCACACTGCGAAGCGAAGACACCGTTTTCAAATGTATCCGCTATGGGGAGCGTTTTGAAAACGCGAGAGAAAAGATGCGTTTTCAAACGCAAACGTGTTAGTGTGGACGTAGCCTGAATGAAACATACAAGTTGCTTCAGATGAGTTTATATCATATCGTTAGTACGGCTATTGATCTGACATCTTCCCTCAGGTATTATTTTGCTGTTAGCAAGCAGGTGAACTAAGGTCACCAGCTTTATGTCTCCGTCTCACGGGCGTGTCCGTCTCCAAAGGCTCCATCATTTTGAGCTGTAATAGATAACAGCAAAAGTTCTTCAGCCAGGAAGGAGTGCAGAAAGACGAAGACGTCCATGCAGGGTGCAGCCGTGCAGCTCGGTCTGTGCTGCGGCTGTTTGCCAAAGAAATATTTCTCTTTAACAGCACGAGATCGTAACAGATTTATGTTTGTGGGATTTTTAGTGTCTGATGTGTGATGTTGGATTTTTGGATGTTTTCCCCACATGGAGACAAACTAAGCGCAGCCAAGCCTCCAGTGGGAGTGTTTGTCCGGCTGTTTGTGAGAGCTTTTCTGTTTCAGTCCTCGGGCTTTGTTCAGCGCCTCCAAACGTCTGAACAGCTGCTGAGAGAGGTGAGCTCTGACTTCCTGTTTTAAAAGGATTCTTGGCTCCTTTTTAGATATCTAATCAATGATATTTGATGTGATCTGTTTCCATCACCGGGTCAGTACGTAGCTGCAGCCCCAGATGGGATTTCACTTTCAGTGGAAATAAAAGAAGAAATGTGAGCCAGTGTGGCCTGAAAGAGCCCGGACGTTTTCCTGGATCAGAAATCAGGGAAGTCATCTGCATCCACTTTCCTCATATCTAAGGTTTCCAGCAGCCACCAAACTGGTCTTCATTATTCCAGAGAGGAGCCGCGCCTGGGCTTTCATAACAACAAAATCAGTTTAGTGACACGAGAGAAGAGTTCGAGTGAGCAGACCGACAGCAGAGGAGGAAACGATCACGGAGACATCAATCACAGAAGAGCAGCTGACGGAGAGCTGAAGTAAGGAAAGCTCAAACATCTGTGGAGCCCACTTTTCAGCAAAGTTTACCATCTGCTCGTATTTTGGTTTGAAGCTTTGAAAAAGCAAAGATGAACTCTCAGCTCAGAGGTGGTGTCCATCCTTCATGTACAGTCTGTTAGGCCCACCATGGCCGTCCCACACGTTTCCACTTTGTGTGCTCTGCATCACTGTGTGCCTTTAATTCACCAATCATGAAGTCTGGCTGAGAATTAAAGCTGGCAAGATAAAAGCTGATAACAGTGCGTGTTGCTTCTGTTCTACACGAGTTCATTTCACGGCGCGTTAGGTCCGAGCCAGAAACCCTCTGAGCTGTGATGAAGAGGCGGGCAGGGCGAGCGGGCGGTGAAACATTAAAGTTACTCACCGTGTCCGGCTTCATCTGCACGGAGCGTCACGGAAAACTGTTTCAGCTGCTTTCACTGAGGAGAAGAAGCTGAAAGAGCAAAAGAGAGAAAACGCCACAGAGTTGTTCTTTGTCTAAAACTACAGAACAGCTGTGCTGTGATGTGGGTTACTACGGTAACGACCTGCCTCACTGATCATCACGTTGGTCGAGCAGCCTGTTTGGTATCAGTGCATTAAATCTGTCCAACGTGTGCTTCCTGTTTAAGGCACAAATTATTCCGAACATTGAAGCATTTAAAGAACAGAGTTCCTGAAGCTGTGCTCGTCTTTAGACTCCAGTGAGGACTGGAACTGGTTTTGGACCTCGTGGTTTCTCTCTGCTGGTTTTGGGGTCTCAGTGGAGTTTCTGGGAGCGATCAGAGTTTGAGTGATCCTGACACTTTGTCTGGAGGATGTTCGTACGCAATAAGATGAAGCGCAGACTGCTGGGAGCAGGTAGCTAAGACATGATTCTCGTCAGGCACAGTGATGTGCTGCTCACACTCAGCAGGTGCTGGGTTTGAACTTCCTGCTGTTCTGGGGTCTTTCTGTGTGGCGCTGTCTTGTCCCCCTGTGTCTGTGTGGGTGAACTGATGAAGCCAAACTGGTCGTAGGCGTGGATGTAGGAGGTGTTTGTCTCTCTGTATTAGCCCTGTGACGGTTTGATGACCTGCCTTTGGTCTAACCTGTTTCAGCTTATGGCAGACGGGATGAGCTAAAGCCACCTCCGTGGCTCAGACTGTGGATGGATGGATACACCCAAAGGGCCTCTCTCTCCCACCCCTCACTGGCCCCATATTTTCCTCGTTTAAAGTGTGTG